TTTTATTTCTCTCATCTAAAAAAAGAACGAGTGACGCAAAAATAAAAAAATTCTATACAACTCTTTTATTCATTCGAAGTTTAATTACGCAAAACTTTTCTTTCTCTTTTGTTCTACTCTTATAAAAAGAGCGAGCGATGAAATAAAAACTTTTCTTTCTTAACATAAATTTATACTTAGAGATAAAATTAAATTAGAAATAAAGCAACAATGAACAAAATAATAAAAATAATCAACATAAACAACATTACCAACAGCAATTATCAAATAAACAACACAATATCGCATAATTTTAGGGGCTTTTTATTTCTATTGCTTAGTCGTTCTAAATAATAAGTAAATTTAGTTCAAGTTAATATTTCAATATTTACAGTTGCAATATAATAAAGAAATGATGTTTAATGTTGAACTTTTTATTTAATTATTTATTTTTTGCCTACATTTGTTTTAAAAAACATTTAAACCCCCGTCATTAAAATAATTTGTTTTGAATATATTTCAAAATGATTATTTAAACTAATTTTTTTCGCTTGACTTCCTGAACTTCATGCAAAGCAAATTGAGACGAAATATTATCTAACCAAATAAAAATGCTTTTACTAATTTTATACGGGTAATTAATGTTAAACATTTTTTTTATCAGAGTCTTGATTAAGATAATTAATATTCATAATTTATAAACATTAAATATATAGCGCAATAACAATTTATAGCAACGAACCAGCATAAAATATTTAAGGTTTTTAATATCTTTTTAAATATTAAAAGTAGAAAAAAAAAAACTAAACAAATAACCAAAAAAACTTCGACTAAAAATAAATAAAAATATTTCCAGAGTTTCTTTTGTTAAAAGTCTACCGTGACGTCAAATACTAAAACTTTTATGAATTAAACGCGCTTCAAAGTAATTGCCAAAGTCTGTAGATTGCGACGCATGATTTAAAGACTCCGATTTATTGAAAAAAATGGAGAAGGCGAGCTTCGGCAAAAACAACAACATTTGTTTTCACGGTAAGCATTCATTATTTATTTTTAATCAAAAAAACTTGGTTCAAACCTTTTTTTTTAACATTATCTTTATTATGAACACAACATGTGTCGGGAGTTTGGGATCCCTTTAAGGAGATTGAAGGAGATATTTTCCTAATATTTAAGGAGATTTGGTCGCGAACGACATTTTTTTGAAAGAAAAAGTAAGGATAATTAAGGAGAAAACAATTACATTAAAAACATTATCTTATTTTTTTCAATAAATTTTAAATATAAACAGAAAAATTATTATTACTTTATATATATATATATATATATATATATATATATATATATATATATATATATATATATATATATATATATTAATATATATATAATAACAAAAATAGATTTGAAAACTATCAAAAATCTATATATTATCTTCTTTAATTAACAAGTATAATCCATTCACTTTAAAAATTGTTTCTAGATAAACAAACAAAAAAAAAAAAAAAAAAGGAGAAATTAAGGAGAGCAGTCAAATTTTAACTTTTTTAAAGGTTATTTAAACACATTTAAGGAGGTTTTTATTTTTAAAGGATATTTAAGGTTTTTAAGGAGGTGTGGAAACCCTGTGATTCCACTCTCTACCTCTACAAATCACTTATTCCTCCCTGTATGGAATACTGTTGTCATATTTGGGGTGGTTTTTCTATTGAATTTCTTTTAGACAAAGTCCAAAAACGCATTGTAATTGTAGTTGGACCCGCTTTATCTGCTAAGCTTGAACATCTTTCCCATCATTGTAAAGTTGCATTTCTTTCTCTTTTCTACAAATTTAAATCATGGATGATGCTCAAAGGACATATTATCTCTAGTTCTATTAACTAAAACTCATTCTCGTTTGACTCGTCATCCAGCAAAGTCTCATTCATTTACTGCATCTGTACCTGCATGCTCTAAAAACTTTAGTTTGTCTAGTTTTTTTTCCCCGCACTTCAACTCTTTGGAACTCTCTACCATCTTCATGTTTTCCTGACTCATACAACCTTCAACTTTTGAAGTCTTATGTCAGTTGTTTTCTTGCTATTATTTTTTTCTAGTAACTCCCAACCTTATTGTGGTTGCTTGCAGCCTTGTTGGGTGAGAATCAGAATAAAAAATATATATGTATATATATTATATTTTCTAAATAATTAGTAGATGTTCATAATACTGACAGTAACAGTTGAAAAAAATTTTTTTTGCATTTCAGAAAATACATAATTAATAACTTTAGGAGAAATCTACCCATTATTAATAATATTTCTGTAAAATATAACAAATAATGACATGATAACAAAATATTGAACTAATTCAAAAAAAAAGTTCCAGGATTTCCAGAATTTATTGCTAAAAGGGGTGCTTATTAAACAAACTTATTAATAAAAACAAAAAAATTATAATAGAAAAAAAAATTAACAAATTTAATTTTTAAATAAAATAACTTTTTTAATATACATATTTATATAGGGGAGAGTGAGACACCATGATGGTTTTGGATTAGACATTTATTAATAGACGTTTTTTTTTTGAAGGCGATTGGTTTAATTGGTAGAACTAATACACTTATGGTTTTTTCTTCATAAAAGTTTTTTAAATAGACATTTTTTTAAAGCGATTGGTTTAATTGGTAGAATTAATTACAAAATTAAATTTGTTAATCCCTAAAATATAACAAGTTAAACTATTCTACAGTTTTAGGGCCCCCACAAATGCTGAACCAAGTTACGCCATACTTGCTAATAGAAAAAATTGCTTTATTTTTAGTATCAACTTGTTTTTTAGAAAAAGCAGATTTTTACTTAATAGAAAGAAATTAATATTTATAACTCAAATCACATTTCAGAAACGCATATAATTTATCATATTACAGGTCATTTTTAAGCGTCAATAAATAATAGCTTCATATCCAAATTGAACTCCTAGTGTTATATTTATATAAATCTCTTTAAAATTGATTGTAAATATTTAAAGAAATGACATTTAGAATTGTTTATGACACAATGGAGTAATATTCTACAGTTTTAGGGCCACCCACAAATGCTGTATCAAGTTACTCCATACTTGCTTTATTTTTAGTATCAACTTGTTTTTTCAACAGTTTTGTTTAATGAGGTAAAGAGATCACTGATTATAGTTTACAGAATAATGTTACAGGCTTGGTCGGGAAGCGGGAGCGATCGCTCTCAAATACTGACCACGAAAATTATATTTAGTTGCGAAAAACTGGCCAGGCTTTTCAATCGTTTTGAGAACATTTAAATTTATGTACGAAACAAAAAATTTTTGTTTTAAGGACATAAACATCTTGGTGCGAAACAATAAAAAGAATATTCGTGAACACTAAAAACCCGCCAAATTAACGAACAAAGAAATTCTATTGGTCCAAAAAATACGCTAACTAAGCGAAATATAGTTCTAGAGAATTCTGTTGAAATGTTTTAAAAATCGATTTGTTACGTTTTGAGATTTCTTGCATAAATTGTTTTAAGAATCTATATTATTTGTTTACAATAATAAATGTTTTAAATATATATTATTTAAATTGTCAAAATTTTAAAAGTTTATTACAAATTATAGATTTTATTAGTATATTTTTATTATTTATATAAAAATAATATATTCTTTATGTAAACGTAATTTTGTGTATCTGTTTTTTATCGTAATGTATCTTTTAAAGCATTTTTTATGATTTAAACAAAGACTTACAAAAATAATTGCGTTTTCAATGAAGTTATAGTCATTGAAGTTAATAAAACTTATTATGTAACAAACATATAAGAAGTTTCTGGTTACTAAACACAAACAACGCATACAAAGTAACTCGCGGAGGAACAAGCACCGCGCCTGAGGTCACGACAGAACACAAATATATATATATATATATATATATATATATATATATATATATATATATATATATATATAGCAAATAATTAGATATAAAGAAAAGTTTCTAAATATTGGTTTACTAACTCTAATTATTTTCGCTTAAATTGCCATTCTTAAAACTCATTATACTTTTTTCTGCTTTAAATACTAACTAAAATTAAAAAGCCCACTCACTAAACATCAGCGATATTGTGAAGCAGTTTCGCTTCCTCGTCATAAAGTATTTTTAACCTTTTTAGTTGATTTCTACCTTAATTAATTTCTATAGTAATTCAATGATTTAATTATTCCATTTGTTTATCTTACAAAGAAGAATTGCTTCAAATATGTTAAACTTTTCAAACTAAGCGAAACATAAAATAGGTATTAAAAAAATAACTTTTTTTATTTATAAAATAGTTTAGCTTAAATAAAACTGAAACTTGCAAACTTTGTTAAATAAAGAATATTTGTTTTGTTTTTAAACAATCGTAAGATGTTACTTTATATAAAAAACATCGCTTAATTTTATAAAAACAAATTATAAAAGAGCGATGTTTCGAAAATATTTGTTCTAAACATAATTTATTTAGCTTTAAGTTTTTTCGCGTATTAAGATTTTTATTTTTTTTTGTCGGTTTTTTTGCACTTTTTTTTTTTGCTTTTTAAAATGTTCTCAAAAAATCTGGTCAGCTTTTCGCAACTAAATATTATTTACGTGATCAGCAATCAAGAGCGATCGCTCCTGCTTCCTGACCAAGCTTGATGTTACCAATAGAACATTGAAAAAAATACCTTAAAAATAAGCAACTTTAAAAACTAATAAATTACTTTTTCATCAACAAACACAAAATTCAACCCCTTGCAGGCCTAATGATATCAAATGATATAATTTTTTTTGTCAAAACATAGCTCTAGTAGTAACTGCTTTACCATATGAAAATGGTTGTCACAACTCTTATGATACATCCACAATTAAAATGTTTCACGGTACCCATGTATCATGGTGTCCTACTCTCCCTATGTTTATAACTTACAAATATGATTACCTATATTACTTAAACACAATAAAGTATTAAAATGATATTCATTCTAATAACTTTTAAGAAACCAACCTCAAGAGGAGGACAAGCTTTTTCTGAACCAATCAGCTCAGCACCGTAGATGCACAGCTTTGTACCAACATCAATTTTGCCCTGTTCTACAAACTTTGATAGTTGATAGTCTAATGATGCCTTAATTTCATACCAGCCATCTGTAACCCAGATAAACTAGAAAGTTATGAAGCATAAAAAAATGATTGTGTTAGTAATTTATTTTGATTAGATTTTTATTTCATAATGGTTTATTGTCTTTCACACACAAAAAAACAAATAACCTATAATTAGAATATCAGATTCATTTATTCATCAGTTCATTCATTCAGACATTCATCATTTCATTAATTAGACATTTATTCAGACATCCATTCAGACATACATGAATTTTAATACTTAGACACCCATGAAATTTAAATTATGTAGCACATAATATTAAAATAAAATGTAAAATATATTATTTCAATAAACTTTCTGATTGTTATAGATTGTTGGTAAACAATCTATTTAAAACTTAGATTATTATCTAATTATATCTAATTAAAACTTTTTGATCAAACGATTATCAATTTAAACTGCTTTATGGTGTTTAAGTAATAAAGAAATTTGATTTTTACTGAAATACTTTAAAATATATTTACTTTTCCATCTTCTAATGTTTGATCATCTGGTCCACAGAAACTGACACAGAGTATGATTCTTCTTGACGAAACATCATCTCGCTCACAAATGCATTTCAAACAAGAGCTATTAATAAATTAATTATAAAAATTTACAAATGCATTGTTTCAACCTATTATTCTCTATTATACATAATTTAAACTACCTGATCTAAAAAAACTGTATTATATAAATAAAATGCTTTTATAAAAATAATACCGTTCTGAAAATTCAACTTCTTTGTCATATCTGTATTTCAATTGATACATAACATTTGAGGGGGTTAAACATCTAAATTACAAAACATTAGAGGGGTTAAACATCTAGATTACAAAACATTTAAGGGGGTTAAACATCTAGATTACATAACATTTGAGGGGGTTAAACATCTAAATTACAAAACATTTGAGGGGGTTAAACATCTAGATTACAAAAATTAGGAATAGCCAATGGTCACTAATATTTCTGTTAAAAAATACATTAAGTAAATTAAAAAAAACATTATTGAAATATCATACTTTATATTTACTTTAAAACAATAAAAATTTAATAACATTCTATTGAAAACAGGTAAAACTTTGTGAAATACATTACAAAAGCCATAAAAAGGTGTTCAACATATGAAAAAGATATGAATGGGGTGTTCAACATATGAAAAAGAAAGGAAGCTATAATACAGATTATAAAATTAAAAGAGGATCTGGGAACCCACAGTTTCTTTTTTGATTGAATAACTAATTTTTTATTAGATTAATTATTTTAATTTATATTTATATGTATTTAGGGTAGCCAACTCTAACAGATCTGATAATTCTTTTGAAAAGTACACTTTGAGAAAAAAAAAAAACAGTATGAGCAGATGATTATGGTATAGGATCTAAAACCATAAGGCACAACTCTTGATGTCAAGAAAAAGTGTTAACATAAAAATACATGAACCCTTATGCAATCACCTTGATTGGTGTATCATCATAGCTGCGATAAAATGAAAGTTATGAAACCATGAGACAACAAACTTGTAGAAAAGGTGATCTTGCCGCTCTAGAAAAAGATTGCAAATTGCCCCACTATAAAATCGTCCTACCTTTTTACTGTGAAATTAACAGCTTCTATTTGATTTAATACCATTTTATCTTTTAACAAAATTTTTGATTCAAAAAAAATTATTTTCACCTATAAAATTTACTAAATGAGTTTGAGATTTATAAATGTTTTGTAAACTATTGTTTAAACAAAATATACAACTGACATTCCAGCATTTTGCTCAGGATACATTCTTTCATAACTTGCTAACTTCCAAACAATCCATTTATAGTGATTTTCTATCCAAGTACTGTTAATTAGATTTTTATCAACACTAGAGCAGTTCAGTAATGCTCTAAATAAAAAGAAATGTCTTTAAAACAACCTAAATGAATTAAATTAAAATGTTTATTTATCAAAATTAATATTTCTTTAATAAAAAAAAATTGCAAAAAAAATTCAAAGAGTTTGTGTTTATGGTAACCATACATTATACAATTGAATTCCTTTACAGAAATCAACTATGAGTAAATAAAAAAAAAGTAGTTATAACACCATATTGGCACTATGGCACCACTATGGCACCACTATGGCACCACTATGGCACCACTATGGCACCACTATAGCACCATTAAAAATTCAAAGTTTAAAGGAGCTCAAATTCCGAAAAAAAAAAATACAACACTAAATTTTCACTTGAATTAAGCATGTCTTTACTTGTGTCTTTTAAACCCACATAACTGTTTTACATAAAAAGCATTTTACACATTCATCAGGCAAATTTAAATCAATTTTTAATTTTATAAGATCCTATAACTCTGAAATAGGCAACCAACTTATCACCTTCTGCACCCTGCCCCTCTTTCCCCTCTGAATTTTTGAAGAGCAGCTTTAATTAATCATATTTTAGTGTATTGCCCATTTAAAACTAAAAGTTTTAAATTTTTTTTAATTTTCTTTGCAGACTCAAAATTTCCCATAAAATTTTTTCACAAAAATGAACTCTCTTTATTTTTAAAAACTGACAAAAACAGGAATTAAACAAAATAAAATTTGACAAAAACACAACATACTCTGTCGAATATGAATCTGTTTTTTTTAATTTTTAATTATATATATATACATTTTAAATTATATATAACTTTTAGTTAACTACAATTTTTAAAATTACTAACTGTTTAAATTCATTTACAGTGATCATCATTTCTTCATTAAAATGTAATTTCACACCATCACCAACAACTGCTTGCTTTGATTGTAACACAGACTCACTAAAATAATTTCCAGCATAAAACTGAAACATCAAGGCGTTTGAAGGATTGAGATTAATCAGTTGATCTTTAATTCCAAAAGAATGTAACTGTCAAAATGAATATATTTTTTATATAAGTTTTTTTTAATATTAAATTACATTTTAAAAGTATATGTAGGTGTTACCTTACAAAAAAAAAATAAACTAATATAAAAATTAAATAACAATGTATTGTAATAATATTGCAATAATAATAATTAATCTATAAATATAAAATTGAAAATACAAAGTAATTTAACTTACTTCTTCTCTTAAGAACTTACGAGGTAGGCGAGGTAGACAATAGTTGACAAACACTCCCAACAATTTACAACTTTTTTTAGATTGATAAAGTTTTCCAATTTGCTTCTGATAAATAAGGTCAGTTTCCTTAAAAAATATATACTTGTGTTTAACATCTATAGCTTCACTAATGGTTTGGCGGAGTTGCCATAATGTAATTTTATTTAAATATGACATTATAGAATAGCTTAAGCAATTTTTCATCACAGGATATATATATATATATATATATATATATATATATATATATATATATATATATATATATATATATATATATATATATATATATATATATATATATATATATATATATATATATATTTATGCAGCATTAGACACACACTAATGACAACATATTAAAGTGGTAGCTGCGGAGGTTTCAGTACATACATCAACTATATTGTAGCCTGCTGCCAGTAGATGAGCTGCTACATTGATTGAGGGTTTGGTATGGGGCAGCAACATTTCTGTTAATTAACTTAAAGTCTAAGCATTCCTTATGTGGTTTGACAATGCACACTAAAAGCATTAACAGTTAATACTCTAGTATTTATACAGCTATTATTTGAATCAGCTTTATTGAGAGGTAAATAATAACTTTTTAGATGTTTTTTTACATGCTGTTTTATATAAGCAAATATAAATTAAAAGACCCAGTTCTGAGAGTACGTAGTAATATATTTTAATTTACATACATAAAAAGTATATAGTACATACAGTTTGAAATCCTTGTTTTCTCTTCTTCTGAAAAGGGCAAAAAGATTTTCTTTCGGATTCCTTTTTAAATGAAGAAATATTTTGAGCAGGTGTGGTGTTCATTTTAAAAGGTGTTGTAAATGAACTTTTCAATGGTTTTAAAGTTTCATCAAAGCTAGTAGTATTGCTATAAAAAAAAGAAATAACTTAATAGTAAAACCATCATTGTCAAAATTAGAGTCGCTTCATATGAAAATAACTTACCAATTGTCAAAAATATCATCTGGTGATGTGATTACAGCTGGTAATGGAAGTATGAATTTAGCATCTCGATCATATTCATAAGCTGATAAAATAATTTAAAAAAAGGATTTGTTTAAATGTTATTACTTTTTAAGTCTGTTCACATCTGCATAAAAAATAAGCAGATGTGAATCTGCATTAAAATGTAAACAATTATTTACACATGAGTTACTAATGTTATGTTATACCAACACAAATTTAAAAAAATCCAATAAAGTTAAAAATTAACAAGATTATATCTTAGTTTTCTTTCTTTATATTAAAATAAAGGACTTTTTATTGTTTTTTTTTAGTATTTGTTTACGTACATGTGTTTTATGGTGTAGCAATCACAATAAAAAATATATAAAAATAACTTATGAATGTGTTATTCTGTAGCAACTATTTAAGATAAAAGTTAAATATTATCATTTTTTTTTTTGAAACTGCAGAAATATGATAAATATACCCAATTTACACAAAACTCATGAGAAAATTTTTAATTGAAAAAAAGCATACTTTCTCCAAAATAATAAAATAATAATAATAAAAAGTTGCATAGATTATGTTTAAAATTGCCGATTAATGCTTTTTATGAGGATTTTACTAGCTAATCTTATATGCTGTATATAGAACGCTTTTCATATGTTGTTTAAAGGTGACAGTTGTCTACAACAAGTGCAAATAATGTGCATGCCTTTTTATTTTATCAACTTCAAAATAATAAAAAAAACATTTGTGACTAGTACTAGTCATTTTA